GGGGAGAGGAGGAGGGGAGAGGTGGAGGGGGGCAGAACGATCCTATAAACCACATTATTCATACTGAATTGTGGTTAAAAATGGGGTTTATAGACTCAATCGGCTACCTTTCCCCTTTACCTACTGATCTGTGGGATTTAACATTTAATAACAGCTTAAGTATAGGGCGTTAACATGATACTAAACATCTGGCTATTATGGAATTAAGCTTAAATTTATTTGATAAAAAAGTTATTTTTGCTCCTGTTTAAGAATCTGTAATCAAAATTCTTGTGCTTCATTTAGTTTTTGGTTAATTGATGATTTTTTAATATTTAAGATTTATATGATCTCAAAATACATAACTTTTGCAACAAATCATCTATAATACTAAATCTACAGGGAGCACAAGAATTTTGATTACAGATTCTTAAACAGGAGCAAATATAACTTGAGACTTATTTCAGGATTTTGCTCAAAAGTAAGTTTGAATTTAACATTATGGCTACGGAAAAATGACAAAATTTTGATTGTTTTTAGATTAATTTTAAAATCGGAGATCAATCATATTGACTATATCATAACATAAACTCCCAGAGTTGACAATTAATTTGATATATCATTTGAATTTCTAGACCGAATACTTTTCGAAATATTCAAGTTTACTTTTGCGGAGTCCAATAATGTACACACTGTATAAGTTATATTAAAATATTTTAACCAAAATTTTAAATTCTTAAACCATAAGTTACATTATATCAATTGTATAATATTAATAATATACATATCATTATTTTTTAAATTCATATTTAATTTATTTAATAAAATTTATTTCAAACTGCCATTCTTAACAAATCACCAGGGTGGACATCAAAGTTTTGTAAAGTACCAAGGCCTACCAACGAAGTTGCAGTTGATTCATCAAAGATTCAACTTAATTACTACAGTGTATTCGGTCAAGCGCTCAGTCATACCATAGCCCAGTACTCGTGGTATAAAAGCTTGTATGAGCTCTTCAAAATGGTTTGCATGATTTCTCTAAATTATAAAATTTAATGCTACAATTATTCTATCAATAATTTGATTAGAGAATTCCCAATGAATCTAATGATAAATAACTAAAATATTAGATAAATAAATATAATTTATATTTGTTTTTTAGACAATTGACCGATCTGATTCAGATTATGTGGAACTAGCTGAGAAGCATAAATTAACTGAAGTGGTGAAACATCCGGATGAACCATGTAATTTTGAACGAGTCAAAAATGGTGTGCTACAAAGGATGAAATATACGAACCCGAACGCAGCCGAGCGCATGCCACAAATCACCATGTTTGCTGTGAGCAGAGAACTCTACTTTAACCCTGGCAAATTCAAAATTGACAACGATGATTTGGAATAATTGAGCATAAGATAATTCATAATATTGGTGCAAGTTTGGTATTTTTAAAGTATTTTATCAGATTTAAAGTGACCATAAAATCAAAATTTTACAAAAATTTTCGTTTTCCCCAAAAATTGTGTTTTGACAACAATTTTGTTAACAATGATATAAATTTACAATGTAACTATTGATAATAAAAAGTAATTTGGAAAATGGGTCATGCTGCATAACAAATTGCATTGCATTGCATTGCATTGATAATGATCAAGTTTATATACCCAATTTATTACAATTGTAATAATAATACACAATATAATTACAAATATATTTAAATTATTAAATGGGTTAATATTCTCAATAAGAGGCCTCTCTATAGGAAGGTCGGTATGTGTGGACACATCTGTATTATTATTAATGGGAGGCTTCTCTATAAGAGAGACCAAATGTGTGGGCACGTTTCTATTATTTAATTTACACATTAAAAAGTCATAGAAAAATTTGTTTTCATTGGATTTAAGTTTATTTAATATACCATTGAGTTCTTTTTCGTTTGCAGTAATTATGTGTTTATCGATAGACCAGTAGTTATAGTCTTGTAATACCTGACCACTGGTCGGTCGGTCATCAGCCAATCCCAGAGACATTTGTTTAATTATTTGATATAATTTGTGGAAATTGGCTGAAAATGTGGTCAAACTGTATGTTTCCTGTGGTTTCTCACTAAAAACAAAAGTTAATTTTTATTTTAAAACATTAAACAATGAATTGTATTATAAATGTCATACATATTGAATAAATTAAACAAATGTTGCGAAATGACTGCCAGACTATAAATGTCTACTTTAGTATTGTATCGGCTCTGAAACACTTCGGGTGCCATATATTGTAAGGATCCTATGTTTAAGGTGTGGCTCATGGATGTCATGCCGTGATCTGTGGCCACAACAAAGTCACCGAGTTTTACAAACCGGTTATTATTATTGTTGACAATTAAAATGTTTGCAGGTTTTAAGTCCCGGTGAATAACCGGAGGATTCAATTTATGAATGTATTGCAGGCATTGCAAATGTTCCCGAAGTATTTCACACGATATGAAATACTCGTATAAATTCATTGCTTCCGGCAATTGTCTGCCAAATACTATGGCTTTGTCTTTGATTACATCTCCGAGTGTTTGACAGCAATACTCCATATGAATGAACACATGTTTCTCTTCAGACCACGAGTTGTAATATTTAACCACAAAATCTGAGTTCAGTTTTGATAATATTTTAATAATCTTTAATAACTTTTTGTTTCTCTTTTTTACTAAAATCTGTAATAATAATAATGTGTGATAATAACTGTAGTAAATATTATTTTGATAAACTAAAGTTAATAATAAAACACTTTATAATACTTTTTAAAAAAGTTAACTCGTTGTAAAATATAACTTATAATGAACATAATTAGCTCAATCTATGGTCCACTCATACTATACTGTATAACTTATAGGGTGCGACAATTGAGACATATTTCCAGAACTTATATTTACCAACTCTTCAAACGCCGACTACATTGAGACAATCACTTCAGTCACCGACTCTTCAAACTCTTAGCCACTCAATGGTTGTAAAGACTTGAGCGGAGAGAGAGAGAGAGAGAGAGAGAGAGAGACTTTAGTTTATCAAAATAATATTTACTACAGTTATTATCACACATTATTATTATTACAGATTTTAGTAAAAAAGAGAAACAAAAAGTTATTAAAGATTATTAAAATATTATCAAAACTGAACTCAGAGAGAGAGAGAGAGAGAGAGAGAGAAATAGTAATTAATTTTATTTATACAGATAATATAATTTATTTATTTATTTATAATCCAATTAATTACAATTGTTATAACAATGCAAAATATAATTACACAAATATGTAAATTATTAAATAAATTATTTCTAACAATATGTAGTCTCTGTATATAAGAGGGCAAATCGTTGGATATTTCAGTGTTATTAATATTTAATTTACACATTAAAAAGTCATAGAAAAATGCGTTTTCATTACATTTAAGTGAATCTAAAACTGAATTGAATTCTCTATGATTAGTGACAACACTCTTATCAATAGACCACTCGTTATGTTTGGCCAACACTTCCCAACACTCAGGCCTTTGCCTAAACTCATAGTTCGTCATTGACTGCAATGTCTTATATAAACATATTGTCGATGAGTTAAACAGCGATTCTTGTGCTGAAAATGATGTCGATCTAAATATAAGCCAAACAAACAGAATAACAATGTTTTTAATAATTATACCATGATAGATTATAAGCATGTAATTTCACATAAATGTATTACACGAAAATACTTACGGCTGTAAATCTAAGCTAAATATCTCTTCTCCGATTAGAGAGAGACTAAAAATGTCTGATTTATAGTTATATTTCCTACGAGTGTATACTTCGGGTGCGATATATCTAAAAGTGCCCACAAATGAGTGCTCGTATCGGCTGGCAGTGTGTAGTTGGGGGTCGTGTTCTGTGGCCAAACCAAAGTCACACAGTTTTACACAACGATTGGACCTAAATTTGTTTGTAATCAAAATGTTGTCGGGTTTGAGATCCCGATGAATGACTGGCGGATCACATGAATGCAGATATTGAACACATTCTAAGAGTTCTTTAAATATTTCACATGAAATGAAATATTCAAACACACTATTCATGTGGTCTTCCGGTTGTCTCTCGAAGACAATGGGTTTGTCATTAATAAAAGATTTAAGACTTTGAGAGCAAAACTCCATTTGAATGAAAAGATGATTGGACTCAAGCCATGAGTGATAATACTTTACCACATATTCTGAGTCCAGTTTTGCCAAACTTTTCACTTCTTTCAGAATTTTTTGCTTCTTTTGTTTACTAAAATCTGTGAATATATTTAATGTTAGAAATGATTGAATGAAATAAAATAGTTATGTTATTTACCCCCAAATTGTACTTTTTTAACGGCATATATCTTATCATCCAATTTATGCTTTACTTTAAATACAGTCCCAAAACCACCCGAACCTATGGCTGACATCTCAATGAATTGGGTTTATAGTTACCATCACTTAATGTCTCGTATTTGTCGATTTGAATTTTTAACATTTTTGCGTAATCTTTCAAATCTATTGTGTTATAAGTTATTTGGCATTCATTGGCGTAAAAGTCGATATAATTTTTATAATTTGTTTCAATTAATTTATGTTCATTTGATATTTTAAATATTTTGTCGCTTATTAAAACACAAATATAATTATTACTATTTAGCCATGAATTAATTTGTTGTATATCTTGAATGTAATGTTCAGATAGTATTTGTTTCGGAGTTTTTTCAATAATTATTTTCTTATTTATATAATATTTACCGCAAAAATATAAACCATTTGTTGTCAGAAAATATGAACCAAATTGTGTACAACTGATTGTTTTGACATTATTTATGTTTGGTATTAATCGTGACTCCCATACAAAATCATCAGTTATATTGTGTCCCATTTGGTAATCTTTATTATAACCCCAACTAAACACATGTCCGTCGGATGTGATGGCAAATGAAGAGCCATTAAAACAATAAATTGATTGTATTTTATAATTATTACTAAATTCTATTTTAAATGGACTCCGATAATTTCTAATTGTAAAAATATCTAAAGGATTTATAATTTTTGTAAATGGTATCTTATAATTGTGATACCAGGCATATACGCGACCATCACTTGTGAGGGCCATTGTATTATATCTACTACAACTTATTTGCACGATGTTTTTATTACTAAAATATGATATTATCTCTGGTTTGCAATGATTAACCCAAAAATAAGTGTTACGTTGAGGTAATTGTCCATGGTCAGTACATCCAAACCCATATATCATATTCATATCATTTACTGCTAACACAAAATCCATTCCATTGACAAAGTATTGTATGTTTTGATGACATAATTCAGGTATCAGTTGTGGTGATAGTATAGGACTGTTGTGTCCAAAACCCAGACATCCATTGCTATTATTACCCAAACCATAGACCATATCATTGTTTGTAACAAATAATACACTATATTCTTCATCGCAATCAAAGAAAACATGTAATTTTGCAATATTCTTTTTAATATTTGTTGTAAATGTATCACAAATTGTAATTTTTTCAAATAATTCACACATTTTTACAACAATTACATATCTTTAACTATAATAACTATTTATACATAAACATTTAATTATTGATAAATAATTATAAAAACGTATTAAATTAATATTTTCTTTGTTTTAATTTTTAAAAATTTGTTATATTCGTTGTGTTAATAAACACTTCAATACAACAATTGATAGCAAATGTTATAATCAATGAAACCGAATAGAAATAAAACAAAAAATTTCATACAATGTGTGATAATTACTATAGTTTTTTGATAAACTGTATTATTTTTAAATGTCATTAAATGTTAGCTTATTGTAAAGTATAACTTCTAATGAACATTATTAGTTCAATTAAAACGTCTACTCTATTATTCTCTAACTTATAACATGCCTTCGGGTTGAGATACACGTGGATTGTTATCGGCCCCGAAGTTCGGGTAATCCTTAAACTTCGGGGCCAATTTGCGCCGATAGTGACTGAAATGTTTCCTAAACTCGCACTTAATGTTTGAATTTTATAATAAAAGACCATAAGTAATAAATATTTCATCAATTGACAAAAAATCAATTTATTTAATAAACAATTATAATCAATATTTTGTTTTGTATTATTGTATTAAATCTATGTGTAATCTATCTAATTATAATTTTTTAAAAATCCATCAAATGTATTGTGCCATTGATCGCAATTATATTATTGAAAATAACATTTTTAAATAAATTATATAATAACTAGTTTTAAAAATAAATATTTATTTGTAAGATTGTGTATATTATGATTAAAATTTTAATACATTTTTAACTAATTGTAAATCATTTTACTGTAATTCTTGATTAATTAATTATTTTAGCCATATTCATTTTCTGTATTAATTGACATGTTTGATTAATAAAACTATTATTATTATTATCATAGCGAATATATTTAAAATGCAGAGCTTTTTAAAGCTATATAAATGATTCTATGACATTTTTTCGAAAGACATTTTTTCGAAAGACGTT